CCATTTTACTCACACTGAAACATATAAGAAAGATGGGGACAAACTTTTTAGCAGTGTCTGTTGTGATAGGGCATGGGGTAATGGTTTTAAACTAGAAGAGGACAGAGTTAGACTAGATATAAGGAAGAAATTGTTTGCAATGAAATTGGTGAAGTGGGACAGGTTGCCTAGAGAAGTGGTAGTTGCCCCATTTCTTGAAACCCTCAAGAAAAAACCTTGAGCAACTGGAGGGATTGGACTAGATAACCTTTAAAGGTCCATTCAAAACCCAAACTATTCTATGCTACCTTTTTATAAACTTTTCTTGAACTGGTCTGGAAATGTAAATTATCTGGTGCTAACAGTTTAGAGTAAATATTACAGTTCATCACTAGCCTGTAAACTTTTGAACTCATATGGAAAAACTTCTGACATAACTGCTCCATTTACTCCCTACTGAAGAATGTGCTGATCTTAACTGATGGATTTTAGCAAGTGTTTTATATTTTCCAGCTTTATGGGTACTGACCCATATAGAGTAAATATTCAATGTTGACACTTCTAATATAGTGAGCACCAGAATCATTCTTTGAAAGAAGTAATGTCTAAGGAAATTAGAAGTGGCTTAATGAGGCTAAGGTTTTTATTTCCTTAACAGGTAGAAATTTATGTAGAGCTTGTCTTACATTCATATTCTACTGAAATAACAATCTTAACAGTGCACTGCTAACAGCATCTAGTTAATTCTTTGAAAACAGAGCCTTTCAAACTACAGATATTATCACATTTTTCCAAACTGCAGCATTGCTACTAACCCATGTTTATATAACTGAATTTTTAAAATATCAAATGTTAAGAAGTGCTGAGCATTTGGAAAGCAAAATGCCTTACGTACCTTTAATATTACAATCTCATATCTAATTTCAGACCCTAAACCTTGAAAAATATTACTAATACTCTAAATAATTGTTCCTAGACAACTCAGTTTTCACTGAGTGCCTTTGGATTGTTAATTGTTCTCTGAAGTTATACTTGAAAAATCTGAATATGCAATGTGTTAAGAATTTATACTGCTTACGATGTATACCTTTCTTAAATGCAGCATTTAGTATTAAGTATTATAGACTGATTTAGATTGCAAAAGACCTTTAAGAACCTTGAGTCCAACTGTTAACCTACCACTGCCAAGTCCACCACTAAACTGTGTCACCAAGCATCACATCTGCATGTCCCTTTAAATACCTCCAAGGGATGGTGCCTCAGCCAGTTTCCTGGGCAGCCTCTTCAACAGCTTAACAACCCTTTTGGTGAAGAAATCTTTCCTAATATTTAATCTAAACCTCCCCTGGCTCAACTTCATGCCACTCCATCTCATCCTATCACATCTTCTTTGGGAGAAGAGAATGACACCCACCAAGATACAACCCCCTTTCATGTAGTTCTAGAGTGATAAGGTCTCCCCTCAGCCTTCTTTTCTCCAGACACTCCCTCAGCCACTTCTCATAAGACTTGTGCTCTAGATCCGTCACCAGCTTCATTAACCTTCTTTGGATGCATTCCAGCACCTCAGTGTCTTTCTTGTTGTGAGGAGCCCAAATCTGAACACAATATTTGAGGGGTGGCTTCACCAGTGCAAAGTACAGTGGTACAATCACTTTCCTGGTCCTGCTAGCCACACTGTTTCTAATACAAGCCAGGAATGATATTGGCCTTTTTGGCCACCTGACTACACTACTGGCTCATATTCAGCTGATTTTTGACCAACACCCATAGATCATTTTCCACCAAGCATCTTTCCAGCCAGTCTTCCCCATGCCTGTAGCATTGCATAGGGTGGTTGTGATACAGAGCAGGACACAACACTTAGCCTTCTTGAACCTCTTACCATTGACCTCCACTCATTGATCCAGCTTGTCCAGATACCTCTCTAGACCCACCCTACCTTCAAGCAGACCAACACTTCTGCCCAGCTTCATGTCATCTGCAAAGTTTACTGAGGGTGCACTTGATCACCTCAATCAGATAGTTCATTGATAAAGATATTAAAAAGAACAGCCTCCAGTACTGAACCATGGAGAACACCACTTGTGACCAGCCTCCATCTGGATTAAACTCTGCCTCAGTACCCTTGGGTGTGTCCTAGCTGGCCCCACAGATGTCTCTGTGTCAAAGTGGTGTAGTAGGTCACTGATAACATACTCCTGGATTATGGGGGCTTCCTTCTGCTCCCTGTTCCTGTCTTCCAGCTCAGGTCGCTAGACAGTCAGAAAACAACTGGTCTTACTTTTAAAGACTGAGGCAGAGAAGGGATAAAGTACCTCAGCCTTTTCCTCAATAGCAGTCACTATGTTTTCACCCTGCATCTAACAGAGAAGGGAGATTTTCCTTAGCCCTCCTTTTTTTTTGCTTTTTACTACTAATGACATGCAAGGTAGGTAGACCTTGTATTTTATATACCCGTGATGAATTTTTTACAGGACTTAGGCAAAATTGGGAGCTGTCAAAAGACATGGAAATGAAGTCATATTAGAACCATAAGGCCTGTGCACATATATATATGTGCCCACTTTGTATATGGCATCCAGCTTTTTAAACAAGAATTAGTACATAGATGCTTCTCCAAGTTGGACACAGAGAGAGCAGTATTTACAAAGTTAAGCTCTGTCTTATGTTTGTAAGTAACAGATGCCATCATGTGCATGTACGTGGGACTACTGGAAAAAAAAATGTTGTGCCAGAATCCTTCATTATGTTGTGTTGTTTTCCCTTAGAAGAGGTATTTTCAAGAGCAGTGATAATTCAGTGAATTTGATTGGTCAATTTTAAGTCCTTGGTTTGATTGGTTTTTATTTTTATATTTTGTGCAACACCAAACTTATGATAATTCCAGGTTATAGGTTCATGCATTAAGATTTTTAGAAACAATTTTCAAAGCCAGTATTGAAATCATTGAGGGTTTTTCTTGTGCCTTAACTGCCAGTTTCTAAAAGATAGTACTCTTAGCAGCCTGTAATATGTGTGGATGTTCTGTGGAAGAGAGGTATAAAGATACTGAAGAATGTAAATCCATGTCCTCAAAAAGGTTACATCTGTCCACATGGCATCAGAAACTTGGGACAGTTTTTACCTCTTTAAGAATATATAGACTTTACAGTCTTAAGAGCATTTCTTTCCAAGAAGACAGGACCACTTGTTTAGCTGGTAAATACAGAATAAGTGTGATGCTCTGAGGAATTGAAGTGCTGGGGTCTAAACCCTGAGCCCTGAATCAAAGTTGATATAGGGATGATTCCTACAGCCAGGCAGAGGATTCTCCAATGGCAGGAGAAGACTTACTCTTGGTTTTCTCTCAAGGCCTGGCCAACCTTGGGTGAAACCCAATTAGGAAGTTAACACCGGGTTTCCTGCCTTTGTAGTTAATAGTATAAGAGCTAGTTCTGCTTGCAGTGAACTTGGGAAGTCTCTCTGTGGGTGGATGTGTTGTGTAGGGTTTCCTTGTTACTGGAAGGGCTGCCTGACTGCAAGCTGAGTTCCCAGCAATGGTGGGACAGGATTAAGAGCTGGACAGGATGAGAGTAATGTACGTGACAGTGCTTCTCTTTGGCAGTTACTAGAGTGACTCTTGACTTGGCTTATTCCTTCCTGCATTACTATATCTCTGGCTTGGCTTACTCCTTCCTTTGTTGCATCCTCTATTATGAGTGAATATAGCTATCTGTTTGTTCCCCCTGCTGTTAACCATATCATATCTTTCCTGTATTTGTTGGAATCGGATAGTAAAGTCTTTTTTCTGTTGATGGCCATGTCCTTTATGCCGGGCTACTGGCAAAACAGGAATGAGTATTACCAGTCAGGACTAGGTCATCCGTTGGTGCTAATCAATGTTCCTCTGCTGACTTCAGTTATTTTTATATGACATTGATGATCTGGCCATTAGGAGATGCCTAGGGATAAGCTCAAGTAAAAAGTTCACTGCACCAGAAGAGAATCTCAGAACTAATACAGTACCACTTATGTTAGGAATATAATAACGTGTACATGTTTTGAAGGACTTAGTTCTAACATGACTTCTTAGCATCCTTCACCTCAAAAAAACAGTTTAAGTTATTAATATGTCAGGCTAGCTGCTTGAGTCATGTCAGCTAGTTCACTGAGGATGTTGTGGAGGTGATTTGTTTTAGTTGAATCATACTGGTCACTGTCTTACTGGTCACAGTTAATTCATGAATTGCATTTTGTCACCTGTATATAATGCTGCCCATGGAGAGTGCTGACTGTGTGACTACATATATACATGTATTTATATAACAGGTAAAAACCTGATTAACTAAGGCCTGATGAGACCTTTTTCTCAAGAAAAAAATTCAAAGCCGCTGTGAAATTAAATTGGATTTGGAAATGAGACACGAGGGCAGAATGGAAAGATTAATTCTTTTTTTCCAGAATTTCATTTCTAAATTAAATGAAAATAAATTTCAAAACATCTGATCAGGTGCAGTGGTAATACCAAAAACCTAATTTAAAAGACAAAATCTCATTTAATATGAGGTAAAGCTCATTTGTAAATCATATTTAGATACAGTATTGTAAAGAAAAATGCAATGTCTAATCTGTGTAAGTTATACTTTAGTGGGCTGGCATGGCTTCTTTTAAGAGTGTGAGTTGATGGGAACATGGTAACAAATGAACATTTACAAAAGGTTATAGGTGTTAGAAAGCATGCTGTTAAGTGCTACTTTAGCTGTCAGTGCATCTTAAAGCATGATGACATGGTTTGCAAATGTAAAAAACTTTGCTTTTCTTGCAGCATTATGTACGTTTAATGTTTTTTAAAAATTTGTCTGAGTGTCCAAGCTGGGTAGAATGCTACGTGTTATCACACCTATTATCACTGGTATTTTTGTCACATTAAATTGAGATGGGCTTGCATGTTCATTTTCAGCTTTCCTTTCATGCACACATTTTTCTGAGTTAATGTTTCATATTTATTTTCATTTTTCCATTGATTTCTTCCTCTTCAGGTGCAATCTAGCTCCTGTGGTGAAGTTTGCTGCAGATGTGGGAACTAAGTCTGATTTTATTACCATGAACCCTTCAGTTGTACAAAGAGCATTTGGAGGCTTTCGGAATGAGAGTGACAGAGAAAAATTTGTGCATAGGCTATCCATGCTGAATGACAGTGTCCTTTGGATCCCTGCTTTCATGGTCAAAGGTGGAGAGAAGCATGTGGAGTGGGTTAATGCATTAATCCTTAAGAATAAACTGAAAGTGCGAACCGCCTATCCATCACTGAGACTTATTCATGCTGTCAGAGGGTAAGTGTCTGAAAGAGACTGGTCTGTCTTTGGCACAGTAAAGCTCCTAACTAGAATTTCTAGCAAGCAGAAAAGAGCTCAAGTAAAATGTTAAAAGGAGTATGATATTTCCATTGTTGTTGTAGTAGATTACATTTACAATAAACCAACTTTTTTTGGTAATAAATGTCATCCACTCATTTAGCTGACATGTAGCAAACAACTGAAATGCACAGAAACTTTTAATTTTCACTTTTACATACAAAGATCATTATAGTGATAAATTAATGAAAAAATAATTCAACTCAAATTCAAACCAAAACAATTGGTGTTGAAAATTTAGGCTACGCTGTATTTCAGATTATACCTAGCAGTTTCATCTAATACGACTGCACAGGTTTGTCAGGTTGTTGAATCTGTGCTCTAAACTTTAGGTCCTCCACTTCAAACTATTGTTTAATCACCTCAGTTTCCCTTTTTTGTTCTTGGGGGAAGTAACTGTCTATCATCATGTATTCATTACTGATCTTGTTTGTAATTTGAGTAAGAACAAAACGAGTCAAAATTATCTTGGGTCTAACTTTTGACTATACGAAGTGAGGTGCATGAGGTATATATGTCTTTGTGAATCAAGTTTGGAAGTGATATAGTTAGAAGTGATACATTTGGAACAAATATTTTTTAGATGTCTTAGATGGAAATCTAATGAAAGAGTATTATCACTTTACAGGCTGAATTGCATCTATCTAAGATCTGTTAGTTTTATATCTCAAATGGAATACCATGGTAGTATGAGAAATTAATAAGCAAAAACTGTCCTTAAATTAAAACATGCCTGAGCTAAAAATTAGTATTTTCTATAAACAAATAAAGTAACTTAAAAAATAACGTAAAATTTAAAGCTGCATAACCAGTATTATCACTTTACAGGCTGAATTGCATCTATCTAAGATCTGTTAGTTTTATATCTCAAATGGAATACCATGGTAGTATGAGAAATTAATAAGCAAAAACTGTCCTTAAATTAAAACATGCCTGAGCTAAAAATTAGTATTTTCTATAAACAAATAAAGTAACTTAAAAAATAACGTAAAATTTAAAGCTGCATAACCCAATATCAAATAAATCCATTTTGAGCATCAGGACTTGGAAAAGTTTCAGCGTGTTACAGCCACTAACTTGAGCTTGAAAATAATGGATATCTAAGTCTACTGCCCTTTAAAACAATGAGTGCAACTTACATACGTAGTTTTAAGGAAAAGCTTCATAATACTCTATTCTAACTATTATGCCCATGTTTATTGACATTCATTGTAAACTGATGATTTATAAGCCTCCAATGAGACACTACCTGAAAGGAACTCTTATAAAACACTTACTGCTTTATGAATTTGATTTATTTTTCTGTATCTGTTTTGATGTGTTTGTACATGTGATGATTTTCAAGCTCTCTGCTTGCACTTTTAAGTCTTCATAGCGATGTTAACAGTGGAGCCCTATGGTGCTGCAAAACAGAGTTAATAATGTGAAGATTGCTGTTAGTTGAATGAGAAGCAAAACCACACAATCTACCCACAAGACTTGCATTCTAAAACACACAGGAGAACCTGTGCAGAGTGTCTCTCCTTCACTGGGTGCTTAAGCCTATGTGCAAGACTGAGAATGCAAGGTTTATGCTACATCTTTCAGCCCCTTAAGCCGTAAGAGGGAGGTGAAGTTTGATTTTTTTGATGAAAGCATGATAAGGAAAGCTGAACTGCAAGAAACAGTTTTTGTAGACTGCCTTACTTTACACAGGGAAACTACTTGCATCTGCAACCTTTATTTTGTAGATTGTGAGCATTGTCAGATAGTTGTATCTTTGTGCTTGAATGTAGCTCTGTGTTTTTCATTGAAGGCTGCAAAATTTTTAAGCAGACGTGTGGGAATATAGCATTTACAATCACTGTCCTGTATTAATATTTGTAACAAACCCCAAAATTCCTCTTAACCTCCATACAAGTAAGTATTCATTTCCTTTGTTTCTGTTTTCTTGCCTTGATAATTTCAAAGCATTCTGACTTCGCTTTTTAAGTATGTATATTTCATATTAATCAATAATTTATATCAACGTAGTTATAGCTTTAATGATAAGAAAATCAGTCAAGAAAGACAGTGTGGGTCTCATATTGGTTTTTGTGTCTTAAAATCCTCCCAACTGCGTAACGATGTAAACAGTGAGATTTTTTAGGCCATACCAAAGGCACAGTGACAGCAGGGTTTACTAAAGAAGTGTCCTCAACTTGAAAGCACATTGAAAGGTGCAATGTTGTGTTTAATAAGCTAAAATATTCCACCAACTGTTTCATGGAAGACTGATACACCCATGCTGTTTTTCCTACACCACAGATAGACCTGTAGATGTATTATACCACAGGGCTATGCCATATCCATGTGATTCAGCTGGTTGAAATGAGCCATTTATTTGAAATTTTAATGTATGATAATTGCAGCTACATGTCTTCACAATCTAAAAACATACACCACCACTGTCTATAAAGAGAAAATGTCTGTTGGAAAAAAAGTTACAATTATAATGTCATCTGTTTTTTTTCCTGAAGGACAAAAAAATTGGCAGTGTAGATTTAAATTGATAACAAGCGTTCTTAAATACACCTAAAAGATGGAAATATAGTGTGTATGGGGCTAAGTCATTTGGTAACTAATCATCAGTGAAGTAAAGTTCATAGTTTCCGCCTGACATACTAAGTACTAATAGGAGGGTACAGAATGTTGAAGGGTGCAGGCAGGCAGCCGCAAGGTTTGGAAAGTATCGTCTCAGTTCCTTTTTGTGTGTATTACACTGCCAAATTTTTCAGGCAAATTACTTTTTTCCTTCATCGATCATGAAAGCATAAGGCATAGGCAGTTTCTAAAGACAGAACATTAATTTTCTGCTGTTCTGATCTAGTGAGGCCAAATTCTGTATTCTGTGTACTGTTTTACATAATAACGGGGTGATTTTGCTGCAATCGTGTATGACACTGAAATTCTCTCTCCTGTTTTTCCTTCTCTTTTAATGAGATAAATTTTCTGAGCAGCACATAGTATTTGGGAGTTGCTCTTGATCAGATAGTAGATTAATGACTACATTCAGAGAAAAATTTGAAAATACCTTTTTTATGACCAAAAAGTGCACAAATGGAGAAGAAAAATAATGTGGTATTGGAAAAAGAAATTACTTTTTTGCAGCTTTCATGCCTTCTTAAACTTCTGTGAATGATGGCCACTCCTACAAAATCTCAGAGGTATTTGAAGTTTTAAAAATAGATTGTGTACTGACCACAACATGACAACTACTTTTTTAATCACTGACATATCCTAAATGGCCATTGGTTTCAGATTCTTTGGTTCAATCGATTTAGGTCAAGTGGTTTCATGTGATCATTCATTTTTTCTATTTTGCTTTTGTAGTTCTTGATCCAGTTTGTATTTCAAATTAGAATATTGGATTTGGAAAGTGATTTGGGGCAGTTGCATTATTTTTTCACACAGATGTTTTATGGAACTTTTAATGTAATTGTGCACACATTATTGACACAGTAATTGAGAATAGTTGCATAACAGAGTTCAAGATGGTACAAGAATCTGTAAGTTAAGAGCTTAACTGATTAAAAGGATTTAGTTGCTCTCTAATGCCATTGCAAGGAAGGTTAATTATAAAGTAATTATAATGAGCAAACCATAAAACTTTTTAAAAAATTTAATTTAACAAAAATTTCAGGAACATTTATTAATAGACCTGTGACTTAATGCTGAACGCTTTCATAAGGGTTACTTTTAAAAACATTTTCCAAGTGAGATGAGACTGTTGGAGGTGTACACGGTGTCTGTACAGAGTATGGTCTCAGTAGCAGAACTCTACTGGTATATGCATTAAACCATAGGCAAACAGGAACTGAGCCTGTTTGGATTACAGTCCAGATCTTCTTCCTTACTTCCAACGATGGCAAACAACCAAACCTGAAAGCAGGATCAGTAGATGCTTTGCGATGGATCCTGCCCTCCAGTTCCCTGGAGGGAGTGGAGAGGACTCCTGAGACTAGGCATGTTGATGGTACATTGGATGGAGTAAGTTTTTTCTCATGTTTCCTTTCTCTCCCAGCTCCACAGAACAAAGTTCTCACACTCATCTTCATGTGTAAGAATGTTTTCTTGGCTTTTTTTCCTGTTGGAGCCATCCCATGAAGTATTAGTCACTCAGCAGCAGTGTCACTGAAATTGCTTCACATAAGGTTTCTTCCTGTCTTTTGGGAATGAAACAATAGTGTGGACATCCTGTGGGTTTTGCCTGTGCTCAGCTTATTTCCTCCATGTTGCTGCTTGTGGAAGAGCAGTATTAAACTTGATCCTGCATCAAACATGGCAGAATTCCT